AAAAAAAAAAATTAATTTTAAATTTTATTAGCATTTAAGAGATGAAAAAGTAAAACTGAAGGAATTCCTGACCATAGGTAAATATCTGTTCACTATGTAGATACACATTTCTAAAAGTTCTGTGCAAAATTTTAAAAAAGTTTTTCACATTTAGGATGTTGGAGTCATTATTTTTTAGATCCTTTTGATGCTCAGGCATGAAAGATAAGATGAGCCCTGCTTCACTCGCTTCCGCTTCCTCTCCCCGATGGCTTCGTTTTGGTCGTTTATATAATTTGTACTTGGCCAGGGCTTATAACATTTACCTGGTTCCGTCATAATACTTCTTCAAATCACGTTGGATAGATTCGATGTTCACCATCAGCCCTTTTGTCACAGCTTCTCTGTTCTCGAGTTCTTTATTTTGATTAATTTTTCGGTTTGTTAAATTTCGTTCTCAGATATTTTTTTTTAAAAGAAGGACTGATTGGGTGCTACATACTCCAGATTCCCTCATGCTGCAGATGTCCGCCTCTAGCCTTTACGCTTGATAATTTTGCTGCAGTCTCTTTGGCTTATATCTCCTTTTCCTCAAAACTTTAAAGATGTGTCTTCTGGCATTGAATACTGCTGTAGAGGCTAGAGGTCAGCCTCATTTTTCCTCCTTGTAGGGCCTTGCCTTTCCTGCTTGAATGTCTAAAGAACTCTTTCTTTATGAATTCAATAATAAAACCAGGTTGATCTCAAAGTCAATAGTTCCATTCTAGTTGGGTTTTTTTTTTTTTTCCCCCATCACATGTTATGTTCTTTTGATTTTCAGATTTAGCTCTTTCTTAATTTCATGGGAATTTTCTTGTATATCTCTGAACAACTTTTTCTGTTCTACTTGTTAGATTCTGTACATTTGGGACATCAGTTTTCCTTATGATGATTTACTTGTTCTTCATATCCATAATTTTTTATTGCTTTAATATTCTTACCTTTCCCTCTGCCTTCCCCATGATTTATTGTGCTTATACACCACTGTCAATTTTCAGTCACATTTATTCTGTTTCTTCTTGGTTCTTTTTTTCCCTAGATTTCTGAGTTGTTTTGCATTGTTTTTGTATTTTTTTTCTTAGTCCTGTGATCTCCCATTTTATAATATTCTGTTGTCCACTTATCTGGTCTTTTATCAGATTCATATACTTATTTAGTCCTTTTATAGGGAATCTACTTTCATTTCCTGGGCTTTGTTTTTTCCTAGACTGGTTTTGTGTGTGTGTGTGTGTGTGTGTGTGTGTGTGTGTGTGTGTGATATGTCATATTTTTTTCTCTTCCTGATTTACGAAGTTGCCTGGCCATTTGTTCTCTTATTATATGTGTTTAATTAGACAGCGCTGTCTAATCTAAATCCAGCTATTTGCTATGATATAATGCTGGTGAATTCTGTTTTTTTTGTTTTTTTGTGGTTTTTTTTTTTTTTGCCATCCAAGGTCAGTTTGCCTTCTGTCTGTGCTACAAGCTTGATGGCTCAGTATTATTCTCTCCATCTTCTTCAGCCTGTGGGATGGAGACAGCAGAGAAGTGCTCCCATGGTGTCAGATAGAGCCAAGATCCTGTGAAAGGTCCTCTACAGGGCACATTCCTTCCATTTGGGAAGGACTCATACCCGTGGACTTCTGCCCATTTCCTCAAGTCCACACAGTGTTCTGGAAGACTACACATTCTACGGAACTTTATCTCTCTTGAGATCTTGTTTTAAAATAGGGGCTTCTACTCTTGAGTCATTTTTTCTTTTCTATTAGGATTCCCTACTCAATCTTTAAATCTTCTCTTCAAATTGGAGAATTATCAAGATTTTGTAGACTCACCTTTCCTCAATATGCATTTGGAATGTAGAGATGGGTTTAGGCTTAATGCCTCTCAGCCAATAGTGTAGCTTCCCCTGGACCCCAACACTTCCGGGGAGAGTTTGAAAATATGTGTGGGTGGTTTCATCGTTTGTCACAGTGAATGCAGAATGCTGCTGGTATTTATAGGTTAAGGGTCAGAGATGCTAAATATCTTAGAACATGTGGGAAAAAGAATTGTCCTGCCCCAGATACCCTCTTGAGAAACATTTAGTTAGGAACTGCAAATAAACTACATAGAATTTCTTGGCATATTAAAATTAATGGCATAAGGCAATGTTCCCTTTTATTGTTTGGGGGATGCTGGTAAATTCTGTATTTGTTTCATTTTTTTAGGCAGCAGGAGGGGCGTATTCTGTGATTTTGCTTCATATGGTCATATTAAACTTCAAGTATTATAACTACTACAGCTATCACTGCTTTTATAATTATTAAAGAGGGCTGGTTACCAGGAATTTCAAAGTATTCTATAATTCACAGAGCACTACATATCTATTTAACAGGTTTTTAACATTTGACCGTACATTAAGAGGAAGAATCCATTTTGTTTTTCTTAGACAAAGTAAAAATTATGCTACTTCACCAAACTTAGGAAGTATTTATGGAAAAGAAAATTATACATTTTCATTACTTTGTAACTTCATTTTTCTAGTAAATTAGGTAATGACTGACTTTGCTTAGAATTTCTGAAACATTGTGGTTAAGTAAATATTGCTAAGATCCCTTTAAAAGAGTTTTACTTAGATATAGTTATGTCTAAAAGTGTCAGAAAGGACAGTGATGTCCCACATGACATGACACTGACATTGCATTAGAACATGTATATGTAATATATATATATAATTATAGTTCCTCTAGGAAGCCATGTTCTCAGAACTTCTTAACCTCAGATGACATACTGTAAGATGTCTCACCTAGACATTTTCCTCAGAAGTCGGTACTTTTAATTTCCAAAGATATGTGACTTGGGGAGGCAAAGGAGCGACAGTGTTTCTCACACAGAGTGGGGTGATGTGTGGCACCACAACACCTCACTAAAAATCCCCTCCAGGGGAGGCGGCAGGGTGCAGTTGTAGGGATAAGCTTCTGTATGGACCAGAGGGGCTTAACCCCTCAGAGAGCGAGAAATTTTTTTGTTATTTTGTTTAAAAGGCTCTTTTTGAGGAGAAAGAAATATATTGTGATATAAGTTATTTCCTTTTAGGAAACCAGATAAAACATATTCTGTAGTTGCTTGTCAAGTGATTTGCATTTTATCAGAAGATAGGACTGTCTTAAATATATTTTTAAGAGATAAATATGGCAAAATGATAACATTTAACATAAAAGGATGTGAAGAGAATAGAATTCATTAACTTGAATTTCTGAGTCAGGGATGATTGGCATCCAAATTGGGATTGATAATATTTCCTCTACCAGTGTCTCGAGCTGCATTTAATGAGGCACCAGACATGAACCTCTCATTTCAAGCTGTATTTCTCTTAAGAAAAGAGTCTTTGACTTTCTTTCTTAGATGTTGGAATCCTGCGAGTATAATTACAATTCTTTTAGAATATTGTACACTTTTTTACTATATAAAATTTTGGGACAATAGCTATAAATTTCATAAGGAGCTTCACCCTCAGTCTCTAGAACATGCTTGTTATTGCTTAAGTTACTGAATAGATAAATGAATAGCTGGAGTCAATGAATGAGTGAACAGATGAATAGAACTTGGGCTTTGGAGTCAAATAAATCTGGGCTCTAGTCCCAGTTCTATAGTTTTATAATTGTCTGACTCAAGGAAAGGAACTGAATCTCTTGGGTCTCTGTTTATTGTAAAACCAGGGTAACAATATCCACTTTACAAAGATATTATAAATCCATGTTTTATTAGAAAGTGAGTTCCGTGAAAGGGGACCTTAAAAAATTTGTTGGATGCTTTAACGAACTTGAGGCTCTCACGGTCTATGTGTCAGTATCACATCTTTCCAATTGCATTGTTTTCATTTGTCTGCTTTTTATTGCTTTACTGAGGCTTTGATAAGGCCGTCCGCCACCACGTGTCCCTATATTTACCGTTTCTCTAGCTGTGCCTTGTCTTTCCTAATTTATCTCTTTTAACTGCTTTAGAACAACAAACTAGTTAGATAGCTTGTTAGTAAACTAGGTAAGCAGGATTGTTAGATAAAGCTGGAATAACGAGGCTCTATGTGAAGGTTTGATCGATTTTATTTTGAGTAAATTTTATAAATTTGAGTATATAATATGACATTTAATTTGTTGCTCTGGGGTTTTTTTGTTTTTGTTTTTGTTTTTGTTTTCTCTTTAGTCTTGACCTGTATTTTGAATAAAGTTGCTGAAAGAGTGACTTTAAAATTTGTAAATGATTATTGAAATATTTTAATTATTGAAAACAATCCCCATGGACTATATTGACTAGTGGTTACCAGAGGACTATAGACTAGTGGTTACTAGTGGGGTGGGGGAGGAGGAGATGGGGTAATGGGGGTCAAATATAGGGGGATAAGGGAAGGGTGAAGTGGGTAAAAGAGATCAAATATATGGTAGCTGAAGGAAACTGGACTTTGGGTAGTAAACACACAATAGAATATACAGATGTCAAATGATAATGTACACCTGAAAATTATATAATTGTATTAACCAATGTTACCCCCAATAAACTTAATAAAAAATATAAAGAAATAAAAAAATAAAATAATGTCCCATAGATTAATGAACAAATTAGAAATCAAAAGTTCCAAAATATCTAGAACATCTCTATAAATTAGGCCAGCCATTTGCTCAAGCAAAAACACATTTAATTTAATCTCTCTCAGGAATATTCCCATTTAGTTTTAGATAAAATGTGACTAGCAGGGGAGTGAAAGTAATCAAAATTCCTGATCATAATACTTGAACATCTCTAAGGACGGCAGAGACATCTATAAACACAGATTTTTTTAAACTGACTGCACAATTAGAAATCATATAATTAGTTTTTCCATCTGTGTCTTCTTATAAATAGTAAAAGAAATCAGTCTGGAGGTAGATTTAAGTTAACAAAGGACTCTATAGAAATAAAGAAAAATGAACAACCAAGACCTCTACGTGAAGGGCAGAAAGATCATTTACCTTGGCCAGGTTTCTTCACCACATCCAAAATGCTGATGATGTCCCCTGCCCATGACACAGGGAAATTCATGTTTTGGCCTATGTCCCTCAGGGAGTGAAATAGGTATCATCCCACCACATTCCCTGTCAGCGCCCCATGGAAGCCGACATTGATGGAGAGACTCCCGTAATTCCCGATACCTGTGAAATAAGAAGGACTTTTGAAATATCTTCAGCATGGAATAATATGGTCTGAATGTCTGTACTCCCCAAAATTTATATGTTGAAATTCTAATGCCCAATGTGATGTATCAGAAAGTAGGGCCCTTGGGAGGTGACTAGCTCTAATAAGAGACTCCAGAGAGCTTGCTCACCCCTTCCACCATGGGAGGGTGTGGCAGGAAGGTGCCAGCTATGAACCAGGAAGAAGCTTCCACCAGAACACACCCATACTGGCGCCATGGTCCTCGACGTCCAGCCTCCAGAACTGTGAGAAATAAACGTTTCTTGTTTATAAGCCACCCAGTCTGCGGCATTTTGTTACAGCAGCCCGAATGGACTAAGACAAACAACTAAAATTCCTATAGCTTCAAAATTATTTTTAGGTTACATTTTCAGGGCACAGAATTCTCAGTCCTGGGTAGATTGCGATAGATTCCGGTTATTTAGGCATCATAGGACTGCTGTAGGAATGAGGTTAAATTCCCGAGGGCATACGGAGTATCATTTTTTTCTTTCTTTTTTTTTTTTTTACAGCTGTAGTATGGGTGCTTATTTCTTTTAAACATTTTTATTGAGATATAGTTCACATGAAATACAATTTATCCGTTTAAAGTGTACAATTACTTGTTTTTTTAGTATATTCACAAATATGTATAATCATCACCATAATAATTTTAGAACATTTTTATCACCTCAGAAAGAAATCCTGTATCCTTTAGCCATCATACCCTCCCCACCCACCACCCTAGTCCTAAACAACCACTAATCTACTTTCTAGCTCTATAGATTTGCCTATTATGGATACTTCATATTAATGAAATCATATATGTGGTCTTTTGTGACTATATCACATATCAGTAGTTTATTCCTTTTTATGGCTGAATAATATTCTGTTGTATGGATATAACACATTTTCTTTATCCATTCATCAGTTGATGGGCATTTGGATTGTTCTACCTTTTGGCTATTGTGAATAATGCTGCTATGAACATTCATGTGCAAGTTTTTGTTAGAATATTTGTTTTCAGTTTTTTTAGATATACACCTAACAATGGAATGCTGGGTCATGTAGTACTTCTGTGTTTAATTTTTTAAGGAATTGTCAAACTGTTTTCCACAGCGGAAAATTTCCACCAATTTACATTTCCACCAGCAATGTATGAGGGTTCCAATTTCTCCACCTCCTTGCCAACACTTATTTTCCTTTTTCTTCCTATTATACCCATAGTGCATGTGATATCCTATCTTTTGTGGTTTTGATTTGTATTTTCCTAATGACTAATGGTATTGAGTATCTTTTTACATGCTCATTGGCCCTTTGTATATGTTCTTTAGAGAAATGTATATTCATATCTTCTGTAATTTTTAAATTGGGTTGCCTTGTTATTGAGATGCAGGAATTCTTTATATATTCTAGATATGTCTCTTGTCAGATATATGATTTACAAATATTTTCTCCTGTTCTGTATACTATCTTTTCATTTTCTTAATAGCATCTTAGGAAGCACAAAAGTTTTTAATTTTGATGAAGTTCAGTTTATCTATATTTTGTTTTGTTGCTTGTGCTTTCAGTGTCATATCTAAGAATACATTGCCAAATTAAAAATTTTGAAGATTTACCCCTATGTTTCTATGTTTTCTTCTGACAGTTTTTGTTTGTTTGTTTGTTTGTTTGTTTGTTTTTTAGTTTTAGCTCTTAAATTTAGGCCTTTGATCCATGTTGTGTTAGTTTTCATGCATGGTGTGAGATAAGGGTACAATCTCATTCTTTTGCATGTTGAGATTCAGTTGTCCCAGCACCATT